AAATTCAGCGACACTGAGAAGCGCTTCTTCGTAATAAATTGGACTCTTCAATTTCATGAATTCATCAGGACGGGACTCAGCTTCTTTAAGAAATCTGATTGATAAGACAATATAAAAATGTGTCAGATATAATATGGTCATAATAATAAGATTGAAGAATCACAGTCTTACTAGTGTCAGCATTCACTGACCATTCAAATTACCGATATTATGTACGAGGTTTCTTAGTGATTGAAACTCAGTAATATGTCTTGCTGGTGTCAATTAATTAGTTTTCCACTACATAAAATGACTCCCTTACACTCACTCACGTCTCGCATTAATGTACTGACTTTAGATGTGTGATACAAATTAAGAATGTTTTGAGTCGTATAAGTAGCAATATGAAATACAATTGTCATGAAATATATAAGTATTTAGCTGCGGTTTTATAATGGTGTGCATTAAGTACGGTAATCGTTGTTTACTTGCTGACTATCAGACTCATTACGACACAATTAATTATACTACATACCGTCCCCGTTAGTGATAAAATCTGATAACAACAAATAGAATTCGATAAATATGAGTCAAACTATATTATGCAATTTTTCGTAAAAATGGCAGAACCACAAACATAATGATCAAACATTTCGGTCTTATTGTATATAATAAAGTGTATCATATTTTCATTTTATATAACTGTTAATTTGAAGAATATATTATTATCAGAACCATTCTATATACGTACAGATTTACAAAACCAAAGTACAATTGTGAAAAACTGTACGCCACTTCAGTTATGCAAACAAATTACGCGGCAAATATGAAATGTGGAATGCGGTGATTACAGTACCCAAAAGCCACACGTTTATTACACGTTTTCCCTCTACAGATGATCTGCTTTTGCCAAATTTCTTTTGAATTTTCAATCTATGTAATATTGAGTCAATCATTAGTTGGATAACAAATGAATAGACATGGTATGAGTGGAATGTACATATAATTGAAGATTACATACATGAACACAAGATTAAAACTCGCAACTCGGCAAACGCAGTTCGCCACTGCAAGCTGATGCGCTGCCCGTTACGTCACCACTCAAAAACACAGCATGAAGCGAGTAGTTAACGCGCATTTCCAATGACTAGATGGACATGTGCATTACATGTGTAAACAACACATCGATAGTATTTGAATAATTCTTTCCATGCATGACTTTGTATCACAAACGTCATTATGGTTCAGTATTATAATAACATAAACATACAAGTATGACAAATAACACGTACCCTTGTCTCACTCTAAACACTTGGTTTGGCACAGCACCATAGGAACCATGGTTACAGTTGAATACGTCATCACTTAGCAGAAATTCTTCATCTCGAATTTCTTGCCCAAATCGGGGTTTTCCCTTCTTTGGTTTTCTCAGCAACCATAGAGCTAAATAACCCATGACGCCTATAGCAGAGGTGACTGCTATTGTAACCATTATAGGTCGAGTTGCCATCATTCCCTTGTTCATTTGGATACTAGAAGGTAACAATGGTAAATATAAAATATATAAAGCATTAATTGCGATTGTAAGTATTTGTTTGTAGATAAAAAACATTCCACTAATATTTACTTTTTCTAACTTATGTCCCACATCATGATCATACAACCAGTTCGCTACTTTGAAAACAGTAGATTTTTTTTCAAGATTTTGAATCAGTTCTACAGAATAACAGTGAAACATTCAACCGACCACAGGATGGAATTCCCTCAATGTGGCGACACAATAGTTGTGTACTACATCAACAATAAAGGCAATGAGAAGATAGCCAAACACTTCGCCGATGCTATATCTCGCCAAGTGGAAACTCTCTCAGTTTCTTTTAAATTGGTCATTGTTGTTATTGAACCAATCAAATGATGTCTGGCATATTTTTTGGGGATTGTGCAAGCTCTTTATGCCATTGAGCTACAGTTAATCGATAAAAAATAATCAAATTTCTAATAGAGAGAATTTTGTAGCAGTTATTCTGAAATGGCGGGAATCAGTAATTACCCTCAAATAATAATTCGACGCTACTTCATTAAAAAAAAGTATATCAATGAAATTTAGCTATTAATGTCTGTGCATTAATATGTTTCATTCACGTGTAATGCTAGACCATTGGGAAATCTTGGGGCGTTGGCAGAACTGGGAAAAAATTTGCCGAAAAGATCTCTGTAGAGATCAATAACAGAAAAAAACTCCAAGCCTAAATCTTGATTTCACATAGTGAAATATATGAGTTACAGAAAATTCATCATTGAAAATTAGCAAAAAAACTAAATGAAGAAAATATTTTACAGTTTTTTTGTGATTGCCTAAGGTTTCTAAAAGACCACCCCTAATACAGTATATTTTTTGTACCAGTGTTTTTTTACTACTGTGAGACAAATTGTATGAAAATACATGTACAAGTGACACTCACTTTATAAGTGTGGAATAAAATTCAAACATAATAAACATTCGAGTATACTCTCTCAACTATAAGGATCAAATTACTGCATTTCTGTCCTAGTTCCACATTGATGGGTACTTGTCGCATACTTTCTAAACTGATGAAACAATTCCACCCACGTACTTAATTCCTAGTTAGAAGTCAGTAGTGTAAATATTCACAGGTGCAATATGGACGACAGCAAGTAATTTTTGTAATGTTGTTTTATACTGTATATTTCTTTATAAATATTTACAAATAAACCAGACAGGCAACGAACACAATGCACAAAGACGTCATTTAAAAACGTTTCTATTTCATTCAATAGACCAATGCAAACTGTTTGTTTTCGTTAATTGTTATGCATTTTCGCATAGCTTAATGGTGTTATTTTCATAACGAATGAAAGCTTGTTTTAAAAACTACACATTAAACCGTATTAACCTGTAATGACCTGTCACGAACACGTAATTTAAAAATGAATTTCAAATTCAAGTTGTACTCATACCCTACGTGCGCAGATGACGACCCCTCTTTTCAACTTTCAACTTCATATTTTGTTCATACATTTACATTCACGTAACTTGATGAGAACTCTCAACTCACATAGCGAGATTAAATGGCATTTAAACTTTGAATGAATTTAAAATTCAAGTTGTCATACTTTGTTATACAAATGGTGAAATATATGCGTGATCTGCTGTAGGGAATATATCAAAATTATTAAGTGAGCATGCGCAATTTTGATGACAATGCCACTTTAACCTTGATATTCAAAGTGAGGGAGTCATCACCTGTCCATGCAGCAGACGGCCATAACGTGCCATTGTTTACAAACAGGCGTCTACCCATGAGCCTTTGCGTTGTTTAGAGTGCGTTGTGATCGTCGCCTAGGACTCATTACCCTACGTGCGCAGATGACGACCCCTCTTTTCAACTTTCAACTTCATATTTTGTTTATTTCGGTGCTTTGCTTTGCTTTTCAAACCATACTTCATTTGATTTGTGGTGGAAACAGGGGTACTTCAATACTAAACTAACAGTTGCGTTATGCGCGTTATTTATACGTACACGACATAAAGCGCAGAAATGATCACGTCTTTAATCCAGCGTGTTATCGATTTTTTTAATATGCCACTGGACTATAAATATCCTGTATAAATGTACGTTTACGTTCAAGTAATATTTGGCAGTGCGAGGACGTCCGGCCACGGTGCATCGTCTTTTTCTTTAAATAACAGTGAAACTGTTTCAAGAACTGACCTTAACAACGGGCCAGTGGCACGTTTTATGTCGTTAATGTGGGGGTTGATTGGTTAGTGTGATCTTGACGTAGCTCCGTCTACCTGCTTTAAAACGCATCTTCCGTATGTTTGCTGCATATATTTTAAAATAAAGACGGTCGTGGAATGCACGTTAGGGTTATCCAGGTAATTCCCCTACGTGTCAGACTGACCTCCCGGATTGACCTAAGCAGGCACAGTATACAGGGAGTCTGTGGCGCCGTATATAGGTCATCAAAATTATAATTTCGAGTTAATGAACACATTTAGCTTCTCTTGTGATTCACCCATCTCCTATTGGGTGAGTCTAAGCTGGGATAGAGCACAGATCTTCAATGAAACAACCGTCGGAAATGACCTTATCGATACAATTTCTTACCCGATTGACTTGCGTGTTTACATCTAATACAGTGTGCTGAGAAGGTAAACTCAGACAGCGTGCTGAGAAGGTCAATGTTTACTTCCGGGTCAAAACATCGTTCAATTGTTTTTAAACTGGCTGTTACGCAAATTGTTTTTTTAGTGAACTCTGGACATGTTAT